AAAACAATCAATAAATATCCTCCGACGAGCTGGCTTACGACGCGCGCAATCTATCTGTCGCTATGCCATCTTCTCCATCAACAAGGCCGCCAGGAACTGCAGATGGAGTCGCGCAGACAGGTCACAGCACTTGAGCAAGTCTCCTCAATGGCGGAGGCGAGATACTGGATTCCTGGGCTCAAACACTGGTTGGCAATGTTAGATTTCATTTGATCTCCATTATGTGTAGATGAGTTCAACGGCCCGCCTGCTTCCGTCGTAGGTCTCGCAGGTCTGGCGGACGGTCTATTTCAAGACGTGATAAGAGCACGTCCACATCTGTCTCCAATTCCTCTTCCCAGTACACATTGATGATCGGCTTTGAGCGACGTGCTGCCTTAAGAGCCCAGGGCAGATATGTACTGAAAAATCGTTCCCTCTCTTGAGCTTTGAGTCTGATTACAGCAAACAAGCTCAATAGCCCCATCGAGAGGCCTGTATTGACGAACTCAAATGCTTTCGGAGCGATTTCTCCCTCGACAGATGAAGGGGGAAGTCCTAAGACGGCGTGATAAAGGTCGTGGCATTCGCGACATCGTTGCGCGTATTTCATAGACATGACAGCGAGCAGATAGGAAACTGAACCAGCGGGTGACCAACTCTAAAGATGCTTTATACTCATGCCATTTTCATTCTCTACTTCTCTTAGGTAGCTGGGTGATCCGATGATAAGCCTCTGATCCATCAAAGCATCACATAATAGAAATATCTGTCAAAATCTGTAGGCAGACACATTCGTCGCCAGCCTTGTCCATCATTGTTGTATGTGGCCTCGGTCCCGATGAATGAGCCGACGTCCTTGACGATGGGGCGGTTATGTTATGGTCGTCGGACGTCAGAGCGAAGTGATAGGAGCTGACTCCGCGGAAATTGGGCAGGGCGATGTCGTAGTCCTTCTCTCGCCCAAATACAAAGCCAAGTGAAGTTTTGGGGCCATTGCTGAACCTCAGCTCGAGACGCGCGCGGTCGTCCAGTTCATGACCTCCATGCGGCTCTGGCTCTTCTGTCGATCCCCTGCCATGGCAGGCATTTTTGCTTTCCTGCTTCTTGAGCCTAGGGATATATCGTGGGTAGTTGCCGCTCAGCTCAATGGCCTCAATTACATATTGTATATGTTTATCGTAGCATGGGTATATACAAGCAATCAAGTCCGTGTCTGCTATTGTAACATGATTGTTGGTTGAGAGAAAGAGGATTGAGTGGGAGCCGCCATGTTGGTGGCTGGGCTGGATTCAGTCTTGATATTAATTGTCGGTCGGAGCAGAGACAATGCGGGCAGGTCTCCAAAGAAGGTCGGCACTCTATCAAACCAGCACATCATATCTAACGAAGTAACGAACTGCTAGGTAGCAACTGAGTGGGCGGCTGGCGCTCCTACGCGATTGGTCTACCTCTGTGGTGGCGTGAGAACTTTAACGCTCATGAACAACCGTCTATGACTTGGAATTCACCTGTTGATGGCGTTCTTGCTTTTGATGATGCTGAGTTGGTTGAGTACATACAGCAAGACCTTCGTCCCGATGGCGGTTTTGATCTTAAACCTAAAGGTAGGGAAAAGCTACTGAAGGACCAGCGAGAGCAGCTCACTAAGAGATTGAGGTAAATCTTCTACGCCCAGTTAGTATGTTGCCTCACTGCTGACAACTGATAGGATCGGGGCGTAGAAAGTGAATGATGCCATACAATCAAGGCCCATTGATCCCGACCAGCTCACCGCACGACTTAATAGAGTCGCCACCAATCAAGACGCGCTACCATAGGCCCTCTCCAGACAATCGCGTTATGAGAGGACACCCACAGCCGAAGTGGCTCTCTTGATCGTCGCAGAGATGCTCACTCCCAGGCTAACATGGTACCTTCACTTGTACTTGAAGCTGATGTAGGCTCGCATTGTGAGTTAATCAACAATTACGAAATCAAGACTTGTCCAAGACGAGTAGGAATCCGAGCAGACTCCATGTTTCATGCCCTGTGATCGTCGTCTAAGGTAGACCGAGCCAATACGACAAACTTGCAGACGAAGAAACTTCGGCTCACTACACTCGGACCAATACGGTGAGCTAGGTGAGCCTCGCTGCTATATGCGGATGCTTGTGGAGTTTGTTCCGCAGAATTAGGCATTAGATGACGGCTTGCTGGACTTGAACAAGGCATCTATACTCGAAGCTCTTCACATCTCTTAGTTTGACCTTGGCTTTAGATGTCTCAGGAGCCTGGAGACAAAGAAGGACCTTTGTTCCTGTTTGCCTGCCGGAGGGAGGGGTTCTTAACAGAGACACATGAAGCTATGGACAGACATCCACACCCTGCCCACGACCAACCCACTTCACAGGAACATACCGGCAACACGACCAGGTAACAGCTAGATAGGAATCCGGCTTGCCGGCAGAAGTCGTTTCCGGGCCTCATCCGGTATTGTCATACCATTCAATTCGCTCTCTCTGACAACCATGGACACAAAGAAGTAACAATTCCCGAGCTCCGCCAGCCCACGATTCGCAATCTTCGAAGGGTCAGCACCCTGCTCTCCCAGACTCGTAGTGGCGGCTTGGCCCACCGATTTGATACGCAGTAAGTCCGCAACAGCCTTCTTCTTCGGGTGCTCCAGCAGCTCGACAACTTGCGCCAGAGTGAGGTAGTACCAGTTGTCGTGGTCGAAAAGCTTCGGATGTGGGCCTCTATTTGAGGATGGGCGTAGATGCCCGACCCGACACGCCAGACCGGCAGCGACTTCAGTTTGTGCCTAGGTAGGTACCGGCCTACGAAGCATATGGTGGGATCTGCGCCGTGTGAGAGATAGAGCTCCAGCATCTCGGGCCGGACGTCGAGCAATTCGCCCCTGCGGATGATCCCCGCCAGGCTGAGGAACGTAGCAGTCCACGGTGTCCAGTTCAATCCTTTTCAGGCGGGAATGTCGCATCTCAACTTGAGGTTTGGAGAGGCTCCCTGTTCAAAAAGATTTCTCGCCAACATGAGAGGCTCAGTCGCCCCCTTTCGGAGCTTTCGAGCGTGATCACTTTTTGTCGGTCCGACATCGTCCATTTGATAGCCCGGGTCGCCTTCAGAATCGGGATACACATCGACTGGGGACTGGGGGTAGAGGAGTGCGCCAATCCCGCCGTGGTTGAGGGCTGCCTCAGACCTCACCAGGCACTCTATGCCACCCGTCCGAGGAAGCAGCGTGTTAAATTCCCCTGAACGAGAATACGCCACCCGCACGGCTGCACCGCCTAGGGATGCCGACAATAAAAGGTTGGAACCCACGTTTAGTCCGAGCATAAATGGATTCTTAGTTGTCAGGCGGAGTATGAATTCGTTGTGCCTGTAGAATGCGGCGGCGCTTATGAAACTCATTCCAATGGACAATTGGCTTGCTGGTCCGGGTGTAATACAGAAAATTTTCCTTTCCACGTTTTGGCTGTGTAGATTCTCCCGTAGTGCTAGAATGGTGCAGTACCGGCTGGCACTTGAGACTTCTTGCGTCCCCGTGAAAGCATTCAGGGTGATGACCCCCAGAAGAAGTTCTAGCTCTTCTGCTGAAGTAGTTTCAGAGTCGTAAAACTCATCGACGAGTGAGTCCACCAGTCCAGGCGAGCCTGCCAGGGATGGAACCATCCTTAGCAGCACAAGACCAACGTATCGGTGAAGACCTGCAAGTTTGGGTGGATCCCATCCCGCCGTTTTGTATAGCTTGTCAACCACATGATCCCGGACCAGAAACTCGCATAGATCTCTATGTACGAACTCAATATATCGGTGAAGAGATAGAGGTTTCTTCTTAGCAGGGCTGTCGAGGACGTCAATAAAGTCTTCGCACCTCCCCTTGAGCCGGGATTCGGTGGTGTGGATGCGCTGTTCAATCTGGCCCGGAGAGTACCGCTCGACAGGTGGACGGCGGACCAAGTCGTCCATCGCGATTACTCCATCTAATACGTCATCCATCACTGAGAAATATACCACGTACTGGTGGCACCTTTTCTGAAGAGTCGGGTCAGATAAGCAAAGCAGCGTGATTGCTACTCGTACACGATCGGGTCGAGCGAGAAGCTTGTCCAGCATGTTCTGGAACATATCGGACACCTCTTCCGGCATGGATTGTATAATTTCCGCTAGTTGTGAGATTGAATATTGGTTTCCAATGCCTTGTAAGAGATGACTTATAGCCAGTCGCAGCCAAAGGAAAACGCCGTTGGATTTCCCGACGGCAGATTTGATGAGCAACATGTAATCGTGATCGCCGGGGAGAAACCTGGAGATTCGTTCGTCATTTTCGAATTCACTCTTGGCAGCCTGGAGCATGTCTTGATAGGTGTGCGCCTGAAGACGAAGGCACGACTCTGGTCCCGTAGCGAACGAATTCTCGATGTCACTGTAGGGTCGACTAGACACGCATATCTTGACGCAGGGAGAAGAGGCCCATTTCTTGAGAATCTTAGCGAGCTTCCAATGATCGCCTTCGAATTCGTCGAGCCCGTCGATGAAGAAGCAAACGCGGTGGCCGGATAAGTCGCATGTTGCATTTATAAGTCTGAGAAATGCCTCCTCAAGCTCGCCAGTGGAGAATTCCATATCCGACATCGAAGCCATTACATTTGAGGAGCAACAACTATCGCTTAAGGAACAGCGTAAAGAGATAGGGCTTAAGGAAAGAGAATTATAATTAAGAGAAAGACAAATAAAAGCAGAGAATGAACAAAAAGATAAAAAGCTTGATACAAAGATTGCTTTAAAAAGATATTGATTAGAGTTAGAGATAGGATTGTCACAGGCATCATAATAGGCATAAGTAGTTAGTTCATAAAAACGGTCAAGAACAGATTTCATTGATTGAGCAAAAGATTAAAAAAGAAAAACGCCAAAACGCCAGCAAAGCCTCAAGATCCTGCTCTTAAAGAGCCAAAAACAGCACGGAAACGTTTCTCATATTTTTTTGGGGGGATTTAAACCCATCGCAACAATAATTAATTGTTGCCGTTGCCGGCGAGGGGAGAGACGCCCAACGGGGGGGTAGCCGCGCGGGCACGGGACACACGGCGATTGCGGCGGGTGGAGGAGGGGCGAGGGACGGCCACTGGGAGAAGAAATATCAGTTTAAGAAACGTTTCAGGATTGTTTATCGCACATACCGGAGATCTCCTCGTCTGCACCCAGGTCAGGGTGGCGATGGGCGCGCCAAACCACACAATCGGTGGCGTAGGACGGGGGAGGGCAAGCTATTATCAAAGAGAATCAGTAAAAGGTAATAAATGAAGCTTTATATTAGACATACCACGACCGGTGGCATTCTAGGCCACACACTCAGCGCAAGCGGCCTGGCCAGGGCCCAAGACAGTCACCTTCATCTTGTCGAAGTCAGGCTAGATAATGTTAGCAAATTCAATCATAATCTTAAGAAATATTCGAGAAACGTTTCCCAATCAATACATACAGTACCATTCTCCTTTAGAGGAAGGGCCAACAGAGCCTCCTTGTCGGCAGCGACAGCCTTTGCCTTACGAGGAGTGGAGAGCTCCACGTCCTCACCGGTGGCCAGCCGGTACATGTCGCGGTAGAACTCTTTATATTGAATTAGTATTTGAGAAACGTTTCTGACATGTTTTAATAGGAACTTACTGGCCATCTTGTTGTCCTCGAAGGACGTTAGGCTACCCTGGACGGAGGGAGCCACCTCCAGGCCATGGGCCACCTTGATGTGCTTCTTTAGAGCACCCAGGGAAGACCAAGCCTTTCGCTATAAAATATAAGCTGATTATACGAAACGTTTCTTTAATGTTTCTTACGTTGGGGCACAGGGTCTCGCCATCGTCATCGGAGGCGCGGCAGTACTTCTCGCCAACGGCAACCTGAACTCTGCCTTGCTATTCTCAGCGTTAGAAGCTGGATCTCTGAAACGTTTCCAATACACTTACGCCATCCGTCTCATACTCCGGGAGACGGGAGGGGCGCATTCCATCAGCAGCACCCTGCTCATACCACTTAAAAGCGGCGGTGGTTCGGTAGTTTGACGGCATTTTTGCTCGTCGACGATCGTTTTTTTTTTTTTGCTTAAAAAAGCAGGGGAGCGGCGGAAACGTTTCCGAAAGATTTCTTAATGAAGCTTCCTTGAAAAAAGGAAGGGGGCAGCGGAGGTGAGGGAGGTGAAGCTTGAAGAAGGAAAAAAGATCAGGAAAGAAGAAGGGTGAGGGCTACGATAAACAATTCGGAAACGTTTCCTCCACCTCTACCAGATCACATGACATATCACGAAATTTTGAACCTATATGCATTGTCAGATCGACTAAGTATAAACTACTTTTTCTTAAAACTTATATATACTTTTAAATAACTTACTTAACTTACTATTAGTTTTACTATAACTATAAAAATAAAGTAAGAATTATAAAAGAATTTTTTAGTTATTAAAAGTTAGTTTAACGTTTTTCTAACAAATATAGATAGCTTACTAAAGATTTATATATATATATATAATAATATAATAATAATGATAATAATATACTATTATTATAATATTGTCTTTGATAGTATTAAGTATTTAGTTATAACTTTAATCTTTTTAATAGTATATTCTTAGTAGTAAGCTTATATACTTACTTTAAAAGTTAGTATAGATAGTATCTAAAGCTGTCAATTATCTATATAAAAGCTATATTATATTAGTAGTTTAATTTATATATATTATAATGTTAGAAAGTAATACTAACTTAAAGTAGTTATAAACTTTATTTATCTTATAACTTTAATTAAATATAATAACTTCTTTTTATCAATTATAGTTAACTATAACTTTTATAAACTTTATTATACTTTAACTAAAAAAAATTCTTAAGTTTATTAAGTTATTTTATACTAACTATTAAAGATAATCTTTTATTTATATATATAAAAAATAATAATATTTATATAAAGTTTTTATTATTTATATATTTTATTTAATTCTTTTTAGTAAAACTTTATATTATTATTGTTAATATTTAAATTATATCTTATTAACTTTTATAGTTAATCTATAGACTTTATTATTATAATAAAGATATTTATAAAAACTTAAAAGATTATAGCTATTATATTATTATATTTATAGTTAGAGTTTGCTATTTTCTTTTTTTAAAAAACTTAAAAAAAAAAAGTAAAAAAAAAAAGTTTTATAAGTTTTCGTTTATTACTTTATCTTTTAATAAAAATAAAAATAAATTTAAAAAGTTTGATAATAAAATAAGACTTAAATATTTATATAAAAAATATAAGAAGATTTAAGCTAACTATAATAAAAATTATAATTTTGATTATATTTTTTATTAAATATATAATTTAAAAAAAAAGAAACTTTTTGATTTCTTTTGATAATATTAAGAATTATTACTTTAATAATTAATAATTATATTTTAATACTAACTAAATGCTAGATTAGATAAAGAAGATTTAAAATTGCTTACTTAAAGATATATAAATTTTTGTTTATAAAAGAAAGTTACTTTTTAGAATTTATAAAGTAAATATATTATAGATATTGTTAAAGACTATAGACTATTAGTATATATATAGTTAGCTAACGTTAGTAGATTAAAATAGTTATTAAATAAATATAGTTATTTTTTAAGATAATATATATAATATCTAAATTATATAACTTTATATAAAGTATAGATAGATAGTGTTAGCTAGCTTATATAAGTCTTGTTAGTTAAGATATATAATATACATTAGTTTTATACTTTATAATATAATAAGACTTTTTTAAGGTTATGTTTAAGGTTAATATAAAGTTATAACGTACTTACATAGCGAGCGGGCCAGTAGACTGGAATAGGCCACTTGAAAACCTATAGTTAAAGCTAATTTTAATACCCTTGTTAAAACCACCAATTGTTACTAAAAATAGATGCAACTTTATATATAGCTTATTAACAGTATAAAGTTATATATATTTGAATTTTACCTTATTTAGACTAGTAGATCTTAAGATATAAAGGTTAAGGTGTTTAAATACTAAAAAATTCTCTACCTTTTTTAAAAGTGATTAGCTAAATAAAATACGCTAAAAATTATATATATATAACTTTATATAATTAAAAAACTATATATTAAGTTATATCTATTTTTAGTAATAATTGGTTGTTTTAACAAGGGTATTAAAAGTTACTTTACTTTTTACTATATTTTACTTTTATCTTTTATATCTTAAGATTTACTAGTCTTAATAAGGTAGTCTTTAGATATATAAAATTTTATATAATTAACTAGTTATATATTAAGTTATATTTATTTTTAGTAACAATTAGTAGTTTTAGTAAAGATATTAAAATTTACTTTACTTTTTCGCTTTCTTTTATATTTAACCCTTTATATCTTAAGATTTACTAATCTTAATAAGAAAAAATTCAAATATATATAACTTTATACTGTTAATAAGCTATATATAAAGTTGCATCTATTTTTAGTAACAATTGGTGGTTTTAACAAGGATATTAAAATTAGCCTTAACTATAGGTTTTTAAGTAGTCTATTCTAGTCTACTGGCTTGCTCGCTATGTAAGTACGTTATATATTTGAATTTTAATGTAATTAGACTAGCTAATTACTTATAATAAAAAAGTAAAGATTTTTTTTATTTTCACTTTTTATATTTTAACATTTACTAAGCTTAATAAAATAAAAGTCAAATATATATAACTTTATATAGTTAATAAGCTATATATTAAGTTATATTTATTTTTAGTAAAGTTTGATAGTTTTAATAAAAATATTAAAATCGTCTTTAACTATATGTTTTTTAAGTAAGCTACTTATTATATTAAGCTACTTACTATATAATTATATTAGTTAAAAAGAAAAAAAAATAAAAGATTAAATATATTTTAAAAAAAAGAAAGATAAAATAAAAATAAAAACTTTTAATTAAATAAGTAAAATATTTTAAGCTTATTTAAAAATTTAAATAAAATCTTTAAAATATTAAAGTTTTAATATAATTTAATATTAAAAAAAAAGGAAAATAACATTATAAGTTATAAATATTATATAATACTATCATTTATAAAAGTAAGTAAGATTATCTAAAGACTAATTAAATATTATAAAAAATAATTAAAAAAATATTAAAATAATAAAGCTTTTATAAGAAAATATCTTATAAAAAAAGAATAAAAAGTTAACTAACTTTATAATTAAATTAAACTTAAAAGCTTATAAATATTATATTATTAAAAGGTAAAAGAAAAAGATAATATAAAAACTAATTAGTAGAAAGAGAAGATAATAAGGAGGATAATTAACTTAAAGAATTTTTTTTTTCTTTTTTTTTTAGTTTTTTAGTTAAATTATTTTCGTTATTAAAACTATAACTAGTTAAATAAACTATCTATCTAGCCTATTATAATAAAGATTTTATGTTACAAAATCTTAAGATACTAGTTATCAATCATATTTATAGCATTTATTTTAATTAATTTAAACTCTTATAGAAAAGAATATCAAATAAACCTATTAATAACATTTAAGATCGGAATATAACGTCCTATCCATTCATAAGATGCTTAGTGTAGGATCTCGACTGCATTTATATAATCTAGGATAAGATCCTAATCCTTTTAAGGAATATTAGAGATCGTAAAACAAAAGCCTGCTATAATATGGGAAGATCTTTTATCATCAACCTATTTTCTAAGTCGAGGAAAATACTCTAAAATTTAACCAAGTTAACAAAAACATTTCTCAAATATTCTAGAAACGTTTCTCTATAGTTATATACTAGTGATTGAATCGTAGAGTATATAGTAATCTTTTGAACTTTGACATTTTGGTAAAGTTATAAGAAGATTTTATAAAAAATCAGTCCTATATAAAGTAACTTTCTTTAGTATAATTTTAATACTTTTCTTAAAGTAAATAGTATAGAATTTTATATAGTATGATGAAATATTTTCTTAAGTACTATTAGGTTTATATTATTGTTATAAGTATTTTGAAAGTTTATAAATATTACCTTCACTTTAGTCTAAAGTTACCTTAAGTATATTAGACCTATAAACAAATTGCTACTTAATAGAAATAGCATACTTTCTCTTAAGAATATTAAACATAGTCTGATATATAAAAAGATATAACTTAGTTGATTCTGAGTTTATATAATAGTATATTAGTAGAAAAGCTTTATGATATGAGAAACGTTTCCTAAATGTTTCTATATAGTTAACTTACCTTTCTTAGAATTTAGGCTATACTATGTCTAGATAATCTTCCTATGATAAGCATCATAAATATGCTTATAGTTGGCATGTTAAGACCTTATATATTCATATAAGG